GATAATCACCAATCCAAAAGGAGGCTTGTACCTACGTATTTGCTTTGTTAAATCCAGGTGGTGACTGTTTTGTGGATGGGCGGTGTGTGGTAATAAAATGTTAGTTATAAAAATAAGCTGCTGGAATAGAGCTATAACCTCAGAAGAGCAGTTGATTTTTGTTTTCATTATGAGAAATATGTTAGCGTATGTTAAACGGATTGTCCAAAAAGTCGGGAAGTGAGATGTTGCAAAATTGTTTCTTCTTCTTCTCCTTTTAATGGGGACCCAATAAATGAATTAATTTAATTTAATTGTCCGTTATTTAATCCGTTGGTTCCTGGCAATATTTACAAAGCAACTAAATTAGAAGGACAAATTTATCGAAACTTTTGTAAAATCGCAGCCGGTTTATAAATTGTTCAGCTGCAGATTTCTCATTTCTGAAATAAAATGAAAAATCAAGTGTATGGTTGAAATACATTTCACATGCCTGCAGTGAACATAAAAATATCACTACTGAGACCTCCAATTTTTACTGAACCTTTGCACTAATAAATCAGATCTATAGTTCTAAACAGCCCAGCTGTGGCCTGCTTTAATGCAGAGCAGTAGAACTGTTTCCCATAATGCAAATCTGCTGTTGTGTAATCCTGTTCAGGTCACTGGGAACACAAACCCTCAGTGGCAGAAAGTTACGGTGTGGGCGGATGTGCATCAGTGTAATTAACCTACTTGCAACCTTAATTTTCTTATTTTTCATTATGATGTTGGTTATCTATGGATTGATAGAGTTTAGGCTCTGGTTTAAGCTGGAATAAATATTCTTCTGAGGCTGAACTTTACGATCACAGGCTGTTCTGCTCACAATTGTCTGTGATAACACAGTTGTGTTTAACCCTCTCAGACTCAAACCAAGTTTTGATAAAAGGACGAACAACTAAGTCCTTCAGGGGTACTTCTGAGTTAAAAAATGCTCATGAAATACGTGTGTGGAATAACCAGGTAGGTAGGTTTTAACATTGCTAATCTGCAACGCCTGCTTCCAGAGGGTTAATTGTGAAGTCACTTGATATGTGGTACATTTTCTGATTATTAAAGATTTCATAGTTTAAAAGAACAATATCTAGGCCACTAACTGGGTTTTTATCTTCATCAATATATTTTATAAAACCCACTGCATTTTTTTAATTCTTTTTCTTTTCCCACCTTCTAGGTAAAAAAAAAAAGTGGTTCCAATGGAAGCGTGCATCAAAACGACCGCCTTGGTCATGTGATGTGTGGTATTGCATTGTGAGTTATGGTGGTGTAATTAGCTAAAAACCACACCATAGGAAATCATTGAAAAACCTGCCAAATCCTCATTGCATTTTGTGTTGTTTGTCTGCTGACTTTGTAGTTGACCTTTGACCTTGAACCTTTATTTACACTTTAAAGGTACAATAACCCAACTAGCATAAATAGGTGGGCCCCATATGGATATGTATGGGCAAGCCAAACGGTTGCCCACAGGTTTTGTCCTCGGTCTCTTTGGTGAGTCCACAGGGGTTTGCCCACAAACTTTTGCCAACATAGGTTTTAACAGGCCCTACATGGGTTTTCAGAGGGACCTAGATGGTTTGACTCATACAAGGGCCTATTCAAATCATTGTGGGCAACACCCTGTGAGGCTACAATAGAAAACCACAGATAAACCCTGTTGGCACTCATAAGGCGTACCCGTATATATCCACATGGGGCCACCTATGTAGGCTGGCTGGAAAGTAAAACTTTTACAGTGAATTAATCACAGAACACGCTAAAGTCTCAATCATGTTAGAAGGAAGGTTACACTGAAGCAGATTTCATTATCATCAGGCTTTCTTCTTTCTAAAAAAGCTGAAGAGGGATGTAGTCACTGTTAGCTAACACTGCTGCACCAGCATTTGTAATTCGACCACCAGCTGACAAAAAACTTCAGAGTTGTGGACAGTATGTTAGTCAGTAACAGGAGCGACCCAGAAGCTATTTCTTGTACCCCTAAGGAGCAATGGCATCTTTTTGTTTTACTCTAGCAGGCTAGAGGCTATCGTTGAGCTAACATTGCTAATGGGGAATTAGAAGCAAATAGTCAGCTCTAAAAATATCTCAATCTACTTTTTTAATTAACGAAAACTTGATATTACAGGGAAACGTGTTTACCAACTAACTGTGTACCAATCAATCAATCAGATTTTATTTATAAAGTGCTTTTCAAGCAAAGTGTTTTACAAAATGACCCCAAATTCTCATAACAGCATAAAAACATACACACACACAGACATACAGACACACACACACACACGCACACACACACACACACACACACACACACACGCACGCACGCACACACACACACACACGCACACACACGCACAGACATACAGACACACACACACACACCCGCACACACACACACACGCACGCACACACACACACACACACGCACACACACACACACGCACACACACACACACACACACACGCACACACGCACGCACGCACACACACACACACGCACGCACACACACACACACACACACGCACGCACACAGACACACACACACACACACATACACACACACACACACACACACACAGACATACAGACACACACACACACACATACACACGCACACACACACACGCACGCACGCACACGCACGCACACACACGCACGCACGCACACGCACGCACACGCACGCACACACACGCACACACACACACACACACACACACACACACACATCAGTAAAAATTTATATTCGGCTGAGTCCAGATGAGCCAAGTAAGGTAAGGCAAGGAAACGCCATCAGAGGGGCCGTCTGCCCCGACAGCATCCAATTCAATTCAATTCAATTCAATTCAAAAATACTTTATTAATCCCAGAGGGAAATCGATTGCTGTAGTAGCTCAGAATAATAATAATAATCAAGTCATCAAAGAGTTATTGTATATTACAATGGTTGTAAGTAAGTAAGTAAGTAAAGTTTATTTATATAGCGCCTTTCACAGATATAAATCACAAAGTGCTGTACAACATGAGTAAAATCAGGGCAAATACGTCAAACCAAAAAATACATCATAAAAACAATAGCAGTGACAACAATAGTAACCAAAATCAGGAGTAAAAACAAAGTCAAGGTGTGAACAAGAACAAAGCCATCTTTTAGAATATTTAGCGGGGGAAAGCCTGGATGAAAAGGTGAGTTTTAAGATGTTTTTTGAAGACCTCTACAGATTTCAAGAGACAGAGATTTGAAGACAGACTGTTCCAAAGTCTGGGGGCAATAGACTGAAAGGCCCTGTCCCCTTTGGTTTTTAGTCTGGTTCGAGGAACAGCCAGGAGGTTTTCAGATGTGGATCTGAGGTTCCGTGAAGTGGTGTGTGGGGATAAAAACTCAGATAAATAGCTTGGAGCCTGGTTGAGCTCTATAGGTCAGGACTAAAACTTTAAACTGTAACTTGTTGCCAGGAAGGATCTCCAGTTGCAGTCAGTGTTGCAGCGGAACTGAAGAAGCCTCTGACTGAAGACACTCTTCCGTTGTCGGACAGTCTTGTGAAGAGAATGCTCAGGGTTGTCCATAATTTTCTTGATTCTCTGGAGAATCTTTCTTTGCATTATCTCCTCCAGAGGTTCCGAAACTGCCGAAACTCTGTTTGAGTCCTTGAAAGGGCTTGGAGTTCCTCCATCTTGTTGGCCAGTGATCTCACATTGCCCATTATGAACGATGGAAGAGATAGTTTGAATTTCCTTTTCTCTGCCTCCGTTTTGCTCCCGCTCTGCACCCATGCATCTTGCGTTTTAGCTCATTTGGGATTTGTGGCTTCATTTGAGGTATTATTTCAGCCTTTCCAATGTTAATCAGCTGCTCTCGATTGTAAACAGCTTATTGCCATGGTTACGCATCATAACAAATGCTCAAAAAGTGAAAAAAGCTAAAAAATAGCAGTAAAAATCCTCCAAGCTACAGCACCAGAAACAGAAAAGAAAGTGTCCAAAAAAATACAGTTTTTCTTGAGAAACTAGAAGAAAAAATGCCCAAGAAAAGGCAAAACTTACATATACGAATGCTTATTTGAGCAAATAAATGAAGCTTTAAGAAGCTTTATTTCTGGAATTTATTTATTATCATTGTCATTAAATTGAAGTTTGACAGATGACTTGATTATGTCATGAAAATTCAAAGACCATTTAACTTGGACTTGTCTTGGACTTCCACATCACTGACTTTGGACTCGACTTGGACTTGCTTGTCTTTGACTTGAGACTTGACTGAAAAGACTTGCAACTTACTTGTGACTTGCAAAGCAGTGACTTGGTCACACCTCTGTAAGACAGTTTGATTATTATTCGTCACTTTATCATTTCAGGTGCAGACATAAATAACGAAGGCTGCCACACAACTGCAAATACAAAAACTTTTTGCAGGAGTAACCTGTATTTTTATATTTCTGCATTTTAATTTATTTACAATAATTACTTTTATTACCCTGTCTAATTTTCTTTTCATTCTTGTGATGCCCTCAAGTTAGAAATTCAACTATATAAAGATAAAAATCCTAACGATACCACTGTTGTATTTAATAAAGCCGAAGGAACTGAACAGCCCCTGACTTGTCTGGTATAATAGCGCCGCCTGCAGGCCAAACGGTGAATACAGAAACTAAACTCGTTGATTTTTTTCATAGACAGTAAAACATGTTGTAGATTCCAACATCACAAAATATTGCTATTTTGATATAAATAAAGTTAGATACGTAAAATAAATGCATTACCTCTATGCATGATCGACGGACGGCGCCATCTTGGAAGATACCAATGGCTAAATAGGGACTACATACCTGGCGAGAGCCACTCCCGAAATGGCATTGTTTTCCCTCTATTGTGGAATTTGTATATGTTCAAGCATTTGTGAAAGAAGTAGAATTTATTTTAGCCCTCATAAGCTCTCTCTTATAAGCGCCTCGTGATTTACTTTCTTCTTCTTCTAAACGACACCCCCTTTTTTCTGATCACCGTGGTACAGTCGGCCAGTGTCATGGCGCTGCTAGGGAGACTGGCTGGAAAATGTTGTCGGTCTTTACTGTCTGAGCCCTCTAAAGGTCTTTTCTGTGGTGTTTTACAGCCGGTTTGGATTAAGAGCTGCGTTGGAGGTAAGAAATGACGTTAGCAAGTGTCCAGTTTGATCTAATTATCGTTATAATAAGGCGTTCATGTACAAAAATGAGAAGCAAACTAACAACAGTCCTCACGTCAGTGAAGTTCACAAACTAAATATGGGACTGCTTGTAGATTAAAATAATTTAAGATAGGCGTTGACGTGTTTTATTTTGAAATACCTATGTTGACATTTCTGTCTTGCTTGCTTGTAAAGGTCATTTGGTAAAGTAAAGAAGAGTCCGCCTTAAATCGTTTCACATCAAAACAATAGACGTTTTTGAAGTTTGATTTCAAGTTTTGGCATAAACTTGGAAGTGATTTGTTTAAAAATATGAATAAATGTATGTATTTCATTATCAGTGATGGATTATTCCACATTTCTCTCCTGCTTGTAGCCAAGAGACATTTATTGTCTGAAGATGTTGTAAAACTACAAGGTTTCCAGCAAAGTAAGCTGGCTGTGGCCCATCTTTTGACAGGATCAGAAGGTAACAAACCATAAATCCAAGAGCTGAGGATATATGTGATATTATCTTACATCTTTACCTGCATTCCACAGGAAATTACATCGATCTGTTCAAGCAAAAGATGCAAAGAAATGAGCTGATTCTCCGAGATGAGCTGAAGCTGCTCCTTCACTTGTGTCAGACTCCAGAGGAAATGCTGATAGCCAGGGATGCCATCTACAGGTGTTGTGTTGTCACAGAAACAAACTAGGGGAAGCCTTCTTCTCGTCAGGCTCCTGAAATATCTGATTCTTTGATTTACCTTGAAAGGTATAATGCAGAGAACCGTAACTTGTTGTATGGGGATTTCAAGTTTGGCCCTGTCTTCATGAGACTTTGCTACGAGATGGGTCTGGAGGAAATGGCTGCTGCAACAATAACAGATAATGTAAGAATAATAAGAAGTTTGACAAATGGCTGTAAATTATGTGTAAAACAGGAAATGTTTTTCACATTTTTTTGCAGGACATGAAAGGATTTTTCATTGACACGACATCCTTCAACATTGCCGCTGACATGTTGTTTATTAAAGGTTCTTATGAAAGTACGTGGCAGATACATTTGGCACTTTTAACTGTTATAATTGCACGCACATAACTTTTTATAATGTTCGCAGGTGCTATGGAAGTACTAAGAACCATGAGGGACCAACGTGTTCCATTTAACAAAGACACAGTGACGCTGGTGACTGCTATCTGCTATAAGCTGGTAATGCTTTCAAATATTTAATCCAAATTCTTTTAAATAAACTTCTGAAGATGTGAGCTCTTCTATAGTTTATGTTTTTAGCCTTTTGCACCTTGTGTTGTTTTCTTAGAACACTACAGAATCCTACAAGATCTGCACTGGTCTGATAGAAGAGGAACAAACCAAAGGGCACTTCATCCCCCGACATGCATACTGCTTCGCTGTGGCATTAGCTCTAAGAAGGGTCAGCTGAATCTTTTATGCATGTATTATTTTTTTTCTTTTAATACAACATATTTTTGTATTTCCCCCCCAGAATGACCTACAAAAAGCTCAGTCACTATATTTACAAATTATGAGCTCCAAGGGCAAAATTTGCCAAAATTTTAAGGTAAAATGCAGATTTAAAGGAACCATTCTCAATATTTTCTTCACCTTTTTATGTATGTACTGTTTTTGTCTTTTAGGTTGTAATTCTAACAATGTCAGGAGAAGTCACAGAAGCAGTTTCGTTCCTCTTGGCAGCCATGTTACCTAAAAGCCCAACTTTTGTGAAGAAAATGGAGTTTTCTCAAGAGGTGGTAGGTAAAAAGGTTGATCTTTTTCACGTCTTTAGCTACAAGCAGTGGTGCACCCAGAACATTTTCACATGACCAAATTGGTCCCTGTGGAAACTGTGGGAATGTTTAGCCTGTAGTGGTGTATTGCAGTCCTCCTTTATTATTTTTCATTAAAAAACAAAAGGCCTATGCGTCTGTAGCGGAGGCAAATCGACGATTTTATCTGTTATGACCATGAAGATGTAATATTCTATATAAATATAAAATATTAACCTGCGAGGTCTTTATTGTAATTAATCAGAAGATTCTAGGATTTAATTCAGAAGATCTAGGTTCTTTGTTTTTTCAGTGATCAACCACACTTCGCGTTACTTCAAGAAAGAGTCAGGTTTATAAAAGTAAGAATTTATTTTTGTTAACAATTTAAAACATGACTACTTAAGGTTGGTTTATGCTTGACGCGTCCGCACGGCTTCGCTCGGCGAAATTGCGTCATTTTAACAACCACGCCCCTCCACCGTGCCTCCGCACGGCCCAAAATTTCCGCAACGCGCACCTAGGAAAATTTCTAACCACGCGGACGGTCGGACGCGGAAAAACATGGCGGACTGGCAAGAACTAATATGGCAGAGGTTCGTAAATACAGACATTTGTATGATTCAGCTCTCAGAGATCACCATGATCAACATGTTGTTAATAATTCTTGGAGAGAAATAGCTCGCACTGTCGGAGAAGACGAGGACGCTGTTAAAAATGCTGGAATGCCGTGTTGTAAACAGTAATTTCTACTTCTACTATGGTGTAGTGTTGGATGCATGCCGTAGAGCTCCATGCTGCCCCGTTCAGTTTGGGAGAATATTGGCTCACCGCAGAGACGAGCGGCACGAACCATAAACGCTGCAAGTTGTGAAGCGCGTTCCATCCGCGAGCCGCATCACCAAGCGGAAAGTGAATGCGTCAAGCATAAACCAAGCTTTAGTTAACTATTATTTACTGTGAATGGATGGAGCCAAAGGTAAGGTCTGGAACCTGTGTGTGGATGTGATATCAGCCAGAGCTTCCTTATCAAAATGAGCTGAGTTCTGGATGTAAAAGAATTTGGTCTGCGTTAAACTATGAAGTTGTTATCGTCAGAAGCACATTCAGACGCAATCTCTCTGTGCTCTACCTCACCCTTTGATGTCATGGTGGTCTTTTCTGGAGGAAGAGTGGGGAGCCCAATAATTTTTCCAGTGGTGGTTATGGCCCCTTCTGGCCACCTCTTGAGGGTGCCACTGCCTACAAGTAACTTAAATACAGGGAATGCTCCCATAAGCAGTGTTAGCTTGGTTCTGTAATCCGGTCAGTGGAAAATCACATCAAGTTTGAGAAACATCCAGATTGTTTCATAATCATTCAGAACAAAATGATAATCGACTCCGTGACTTCTCATCGCTGCTTCAGGTGGATTTGCTTCGTTTGCGGAGCGACGGCAGGCCAATTAAAGGGAAAGTAGATGAGATCGTAACTCAGCTGGAAAGAGGCGGTCAAGTGACTCAGCAGACCCTTGATGAGATGCTGTGTCATGCCCCCACTGGGAAGAGGAAACCGGCGCTGTTGGAGGAGGTGAGCAGGAAAAGCCGAAGGACTCTGAGACCTCTTCAGTTCACTTTGTTGTCAGAGTGAGTCCTGGACCAGGTCAGAATCGGCCGACCTGTATGTTCATCGTGAGCTGATACGGACCGTCAGGGCTCTTCTTGTTGCCTCATTTCTATTATCAGTGTTCTAGATTCACTTCTGAAGCAAGCACAAAGATGTAGAGGAGAAAAACGCACTAGAATGACCATTTTATTTTCCTTCTACATGATAAAACTTCCACACCCTTTGCAACAGAGTATCAGCTGTAACTAACTTATATCTAAGCTGCCCTTAAAGAAATCTGACTAAGTTCACACTTGTGTCATTTAAAGTTGTTGGCAGATATATTTTTTAAATTGCATATGTAAATCTAAGCTAGCATATAGTCTTGAGTGGTGTTGGTAATCTGCAGATACATTATCAACTTGAACACCCACAGTCTGCAGGCATGTCTTTGGACTCGTGGCTTTCCTGACACAAACAAAAATGGTCCCTGGAAGAAGAGAAACATCATGTTAGACGTGCTTGCTGATAAATGTCAGGAGTCCTTTTCTGAAACTGTGTTTGAACAGACTGGGAGTGTAAATGAGAGATGTGTGAGACGACGTATGAAAGGTTTAGTAATAAAAACAAAAGAAAAAGAATAAAGAAATGCTTTTGTTTATTTCATGTTGTGCACTCAATTTGAAATCATTATCTTAAAGATCTATTTAGTTTTTCAAAGAGAGAAGAGGGATATTTATTTATACAAAAATTAATGAAATTGAGTCCAAGTTTAGGTTTTTTGATGTTTTCAAATCTTAAACCTTATTTTTTTTATCTTCCACATTTAATTCACTTTCTTTTGTTGCACAAATGTTTAATGCAGCTATCTGGAGGACATTAAGTTTATAGGTGCACCTTAAACAACCAAGTAAATATTTTATTTTGGATATTTTTCTATTTTTCACAGATTAAATTTAATTTCTCATTCTGAAACACATAACTCAGTGATTTCTGAAAGTCCTGTATGAGGTATGTTGGGCAGTGGGTAGATATCCTTTAATACAAATAGCTGTTATTTAACTTTTAAGAATATTATGAATGTGGTTTTATAATTATAGCATTGTGCTTTGTGTACAGTTTCTAAACAAGTGAGCATTTTGACCACATCTTTTTTATGCATATATCCAACCCCATACTGTGGATGCTATTTAAGTATATTTCTTTCCTTTTGAAATATAAGTTGCTTTTATTTCTAAATTTCAAGATATTATTCCCAGTTTAACTAAATTCCATTTTACATTTAGTTGTGTGATGATTACACACACACACACACACACACACACACACACTTGTCTTGTATTTGTTGTGAGGACCGTCGTCCATTCATTCTACTGACTGGATTGTGCCTAACCATACCCAGTCTATTCCTAACCTTAACTTAAACTTAGGGCCTGTCCACACGTAGCCGGGGATCTGCCAAAACGTAGATATTTTCCTACGTTTTGGCCTGACATCCACACGAAAACGGAGTTTTTTCACACGAAAACAGATCTTTTTAAAAACTCCGGCCAAAGTGAAGATCTGCGTTTTCTCCGTTTTGGGTGTCTGCGTGCAAGAGCATCTGGCTGCAGACATCAGCTGGCGTCTTTGCCGTGACAGGAAATGACGTATCCGGAAAATTAAGTGTCATTACCTTTGCCGGAAGTCATTACCTTTGCCGGAAGTAGTTTTTTTTTCGGGTCATTACCTTTGCAGGAAGTAGTTTTTTTTTTCTTGAATACGCTTGCTCCTCCTTGAACCGTCACCTTATCGTGGTGGAGGAGTTTGAGTGCCCTAATGATCCTAGGAGCTATGTTGTCTGGGGCACTTAGTGCCCCTGGTAGGGTCTCCCATGACAAATTGGTCTTAGGTGAAGGGTGAGACAAAGAACGGTTCGAAGGATCTTTCATGGCGGTTAAAACGAAGAGTCGGAGTACCCGGCCCGGAGGGTTACCGGGATCCCACCCTGGAGCCAGGCCTGGGATTGGGGCCCGTGAGCGAGCGCCTGGTGGCCGGGCTTTCGCCCATGGGGCCCGGCCGGGCCCAGCCCGAACCGGATACATGGGCTCGTCCAACTGTGGACCCACCACCCGCAGGAGGAACATGAAGGGTCCGGTGCAATGCGAATCGGGTGGCAGACCAAGGCGGGAGCCTTGGCGGTCCAATCCCCGGACAAGAAAACTAGTTTTTGGGACATGGAACGTCACCTCGCTGGCGGGGAAGGAGCCGGAGCTTGTGGCAGAGGTTGAGCGGTACCGGCTAGATATAGTCGGACTCACCTCGACACATTGCATTGGCTCTGGAACCCGAGACCTGGAGAGGGGTTGGACACTCTACTTTGCTGGAGTTGCTCCGGGTGAGAGGCGGAGGGCTGGGGTTGGCTTTTTGTTAGCCCCGAGACTCTCTGCCTGTGTGTTGGGGTTTACCCCGGGGGACAAGAGGGTAGCTTCCTTGCGCCTTCGGGTCGGGGAACGGGTCCTGACTGTTGTTTGTGCTTATGGGCCAAATATCAGTTCAGAGTACCCACCCTTTCTGGAGTCCCTGGGACGAGTGCTAGATAGTGCTCCATCAGGGGACTCCATTGTCCTGCTGGGGGACTTCAATGCTCACGTGGGCAATGACAGCTTGACCTGGAGGGGTGTGATTGGGAGGAACGGCCCACCTAATCTGAACTCGAGCGGTGTTTTGTTATTGGACTTCTGTGCAAGCCGCAGTTTGGCCATAACGAACACCATGTTCGAACATAAGGATGCCCACCGGTACACTTGGTACCAGGGCAGCCTAGGTCACAGGTCGATGATAGATTTTGTAGTCGTATCATCTGACCTGCGGCCGTATGTTTTGGACACCCGAGTGAAGAGAGGGGCGGAGCTGTCAACTGATCACCACCTGGTGGTGAGTTGGATCAGATGGCAAGGGAACATGCCGCGTAGACCTGGCAGACCCAAACGCATAGTGAGGGTCTGCTGGGAACGCCTGGCAGAAGAACCTGTCAAGACGGTCTTCAACTCCCACCTCCGGCAGAGCTTTGACCACGTCCCGAGAGCAGTGGGGGACATTGAGTCCGAGTGGGCCTTGTTCCACTCTGCGATTGTCGAGGCGGCTGTTGCTAGCTGTGGTCGTAAGGTGGCCGGTGCCAGTCGTGGTGGCAACCCCCGTACCCGCTGGTGGACACCAGAGGTTCGGGGAGCCGTCAGGCTGAAGAAGGAGGCCTACAGGGCGTGGCTGGTCTGTGGGTCTCCGGAGGCAGCAGACAGGTACCGGATAGCCAAGCGGGGTGCAGCAGTGGCAGTTGCCGAGGCAAAATCTCGGGCGTGGGAGGAGTTTGGTGAGGCCATGGAGAAAGACTATCGATCGGCTCCAAAGAGGTTCTGGCAAACTGTCCGGCGCCTCAGGAGAGGAAGGCAGCAACTCGCTCACACTGTTTACAGTGGGGATGGGGAGCTGCTGACGTCAACTGAGGCTATAGTCGGACGGTGGAAGGAATACTTTGAGGAGCTCCTCAATCCCACCAATGCGCATTCCGAGGAGGAACCAGAGCTGGGAGGCCTGGGGATGGACTGTCCGATCTCGGGGGCAGAAGTTGCTGAGGTAGTCAAACAACTACACAGCGGCGGAGCCCCGGGGGCGGATGAGGTTCGTCCTGGGTATCTCAAGGCTATGGATGTTGTAGGGCTGTCATGGTTGACACGTCTCTACAACATTGCGTGGTCATCGGGGGCAGTTCCTAGGGAGTGGCAGACCGGGGTGGTGGTCCCCATCTTTAAGAAGGGTGACCTGAGGGTGTGTTCCAACTATAGGGGGATCACACTCCTCAGCCTCCCGGGAAAGGTCTACGCCAAGGTACTGGAGAGGAGGGTCCGATCGATAGTTGAATCTCAGATAGAGGAGGAGCAATGTGGTTTTCGTCCTGGCCGTGGAACTGTGGACCAGCTCTATACCCTTGCAAGGGTGATGGAGGGGGCATGGGAGTTTGCCCAACCAATCCACATGTGCTTTGTGGATTTGGAGAAGGCTTATGACCGTGTCCCCAGGGGCACCCTGTGGGGGACGCTCCAGGAGTATGGGGTGGGTGGCTTTCTGTTAAGGGCCATTCAGTCCCTTTACCAGAGGAGCGTGAGTTTGGTCCGCATAGCCGGTAGTAAGTCGGACCTGTTCCCAGTGAGGGTTGGACTCCGCCAGGGCTGCCCTTTGTCACCGGTTCTGTTCATCACTTTTATGGACAGAATTTCTAGACGCAGCCGTGGTGTGGAGTGTGTCGAGTTTGGTGGCAGGAGAATCTCGTCTCTGCTTTTTGCGGATGATGTGGTCCTCCTAGCTTCATCCAGCTCTGACCTTCAGCTCTTGCTGGGTAGGTTCGCGGCCGAATGTGAAGCGGCTGGGATGAGGATCAGCACCTCCAAATCTGAGACCATGGTTCTCGACCGGAAAAGGGTGGCTTGCCACCTCCGGGTCGGGGGAGAGGTCCTACCTCAAGTGGAGGAGTTTAAGTATCTCGGGGTCTTGTTCACGAGTGAGGGTAGGAGGGATCGGGAGATCGACAGGCGGATTGGTTCGGCGTCTGCAGTGATGCGGACGCTGAGCCGATCTGTCGTGGGGAAGAGGGAGCTGAGCCAGAAAGCCAGGCTCTCGATTTACCGGTCTATCTACGTCCCAATCCTCACCTATGGTCATGAGCTTTGGGTAATGACCGAAAGAACGAGATCGCGGATACAAGCGGCCGAAATGAGTTTCCTCCGTAGGGTGGCCGGGCTCAGCCTTAGAGATAGGGTGAGGAGCTCGGACATTCGGGAGGGACTCGGAGTAGAACCGCTGCTCCTCCGGATCGAAAGGAGCCAGTTGAGGTGGTTTGGGCATCTGGTCAGGATGCCTCCTGGACGCCTCCCCGGGGAGGTGTTTCGGGCATGTCCTGCCGGCAGAAGGCCCCCGGGTCGACCCAGGACACGTTGGAGAGGTTACATCTCCAATCTGGTCCGGGAACGCCTTGGGGTCCTGCCGGAGGAGCTGGTGGACAAGGCCGGGGAGAGGACGGCCTGGAGCTCCCTAATTGGGATGCTGCCCCAGCGACCCGGACCCGGATAAGCGGAGGAAGACGAAGACGCTTTATTGACAAAGCACAAAAGTAGTTTGGATTTGTCAAAACCATACCGTGTCGTTTTTCTCTTCGATTTGTACACATTTAAGAGAAAAATTACACGGTGGGTCATTACCTTAACCAGAAGTCATTACTTTCACTGGAAGTAGTTTTTTTAAAAAACAAAACTTACCGAATAAAGCTTTTTATTTCGGATTTTTTTTCTCTTCAGATCTGGACCGGCAAACTTAAGTAATGTTGTTACCTGCGTTGCATGAAAATTGAATATTAAATCCCTTTGTTCTTCAGACAGGGAATTTTTATGACAGTAGCACATACATACATACATATATATATATATATATATATATATATATATATATATATATATACACACACACACACACACATATGTATATATACACACACACACAATAAAAGCCTGTAAAGTGAATTAAAAAAAGATATGGATAAAATGAGAACACGTTAAACTAAGACTTTTCAAAATGTGCAAACAAAACAGTACTGGCTAAATATTCAGTTTTATTGTTAAGCCCAAGATGAACTTTTGACCTACACCAATTGCTAAAGTACAGGACTCCCAGAAGCAGTGAAAAACATTTCAGCAACACTCCTCTCTCACCAGCAACAAAAATTAGTTATTAAATATCCATAACACTGTCCTATTGTGTATCACAGCAGCTCATTGCAACAGAATTTAACTACTACAGCTGATAACTATTTAGCTAGTTGGTATTTATTTTGAGTGAAAGACAATAAAACCAAAGAAACACTTGATTTCACAACCATTTTATTTTGGGTGCAAATGAATTTGCTGAAGCATGGCTTTCTCAGCTGCATATCGATTCATCCCCTCCCATTTTTCCAACACTTTTATTGTTACCTGAAAAACATGCAGGATTACTTCAACGTCGTCGTCTTCCTCCGCTTGTCCGGGTCCAGGTCGTGGGGGCAGCATCCCAACTAGGGAGCTCCAGACCGTCCTCTCCCCGGCCACCTCCACCAGCTCCTCCGGCAGGACCCCAAGGCGTTCCCGGACCAGATTGGAGATGTAACCTCTCCAACGTGTCCTGGGTCGACCCGGGGGCCTCCTGCCGGCAGGACATGCCAGAAACACCTCCCCGGGGAGGCGTCCAGGAGGCATCCTGACCAGATGCCCAAACCACCTCAACTAGCTCCTTTCGATCCGGAGGAGCAGCGGTTCTACTCCGAGTCCCTCCCGGATGTCCGAGCTCCTCACCCTATCTCTAAGGCTGAGCCCGGCCACCCTGCGGAGGAAACTCATTTTGGCCGCTTGTATCCGCGATCTCGTTCTTTCAGTCATTACCCAATGTTCATGACCATAGGTGAGGATTGGGACGTAGATCGACCGGTAAATCGAGAGCCTGGCTTTCTGGCTCAGCTCCCTCTTCACCACGACAGATCGGTTCAGCATCCGCATCACTGCAGACGCCGAACCAATCCGCCTGTCGATCTCCCGATCCCTCCTACCGTCACTCGTGAACAAGACCCCGAGATACTTAAACTCCTCCACTTGAGGTAGGACCTCTCCCCCGACCAGGAGTTGGCAAGCCACCCTTTTCCGGTCGAGAACCATGGATTTGGAGGTGCTGACCCTCATCCCAGCCGCTTCACACTCGGCCGCGAACCTACCCAGCAAGAGCTGAAGGTCAGAGCTGGATGAAGCTAGTAGGACCACATCATCCGCAAAAAGCATAGACGAGATTCTCCTGCCACCAAACTCTGTTAAGGATTACTTCATACACTGTCAAATGTCGAAAAGTAACTTTTATACCAATCACTGCTGAAGACTGCGTTGTACCTCTGGAACAAGGACATCAAACACCAAGTCCAGAAACTGGAACTCTCTCTTCTTTATTAGTTTATCTATTCCAGAGCATGAACCAATCCGCTCTGTCAGCTCGTCAACCTATAAAACACGTTAACATAAAAATGAACAAAACGTTCCTCTCAGCATTAGACAACGGACCCAGGTGGCCCACTGACCATGCATCCACATAAATAAATGTGATGCAGCTTATTGTAAGTCCGTATACATTTACCTGTGCATCAGCAAAGTGGAACATCAGTGGCTTAAGTCTCTGCTTTAATTTAAGCGAGACACCTGGATTGTGCCGCAGATACATGCGGCCAGACTTCACTCCACCGCTGCAGAGATCCTTATACACAGTCTGAGTAGAGACAAGAGTTAAAAATAAGCAACATTACCACAGATAACAAGAGATTGCATTATCCTATGTCCAATTTTAGAATCTCAATATATTATAACTAAACATTACCTTGATTTCACCATCTGAAATCACTGCCTGGGTTCCATTTTTCAAAGCCTCGATTGTCCTGTAATTTAGATAAAAATACATCTTATTAGCAAATGAAGAATACCGGTACAAGCACATGTAAGGAGTTTTGTCTGTGACACTTGAAGAAGTCCGATATTCATTTTAGATCTATATTTAAGGCCTGTAACTCCTGAATGATTTGCAGCTACATGTGCTTAAATCCAGTAATATTAATATAAACCAAACCCAATCAAAGCAGTCAGCCGACAAAAATATCTATTTTTTATAAGGATAGGATTATTCTGAAACAGAATCAGAAGGAGGGCGGCATTAATTAGAGAAGCGGTTGCTATTTCAAAGTTATTGTACCTGTTGCAGGACACCTGATTTGTGCAACCACAGTAGAATGACCCAGCACACCACACACAATAACTGAAAAATATTTAGAGATATTGAAAGCTAAGCTTGTCCAGAAAATACATTTTATTTCTGGGTGCACAGGACCAGTTCCAGTGTGGGCCAGATGCTGAAAAATAAATTCATAAATCTGTCTTTTTTGAAGTTTCACAAATCAGAGGAAGGTTTCACAAATCACAAACTATGTTTTATGCATTCTGCTACGAGCCCAGAATAATCTAAAACAGGTTTGAAGAGTGTATGTATTGTAGGTTTTGAGCTAGAGCAGAATAAAAATGGTCAGAGTAGAGAAAAATTGGGTGTATTAGCCCTTTAGCCATTTCCCGAATCGGAAGCTAACTTTAGCCTCGTATGAAAACTAGTGATTGAAACAACTTACAAATCTCTGAAAATCTACGATTTTTAATTAAAAAAGGGTATTAATAACGTTTCAGTCAAGTCAGTATTAGAAATCGTGGTCTTTATATCATATCTAAATTATATATAAAGTTAACTTTAACTGTTTTAACAAACAGGGAGACCAGAAAAATCAAATAGCTAAGTTAAAGCTAAGCTACAATTGCTGATAGCTTTATTTATGTAGCTTTTGTGTTAGCTAGCTTGTGATCTCCCTGCATTAGTTTTAAGACTGCGTGTTAATATTGAAACAATTAGCTATGAAACACGGTGCCTTTGCAATAATTCTCTGGTAAAGCTTTAAACGCTACAGTGACTACATTTAAGAACTAAGAACGGTTGCAACAATTAGTTAATTTCATCCTTATCCTTCTTTCTTTATTTATCATCCTTATCCTTACCTTTCCTCAATTGAAACCCGCCGAGTATGGTTGAAACAAAAACAACGTAGCGGCCGCCAAAAAAAGACCAACTTCCTGCCGAGGTCTTTCGCTCGTCGATTTTCCGGTAAAAGTAATGACACGCCATCTTGCTCTCGACACACCAGCTGATGTCTGCAGCCAGGTCCTACTCTCTGCGTGTGGACCGACAGACAAAACCGGAGTTTTAAGGTCCGCAACGTCACTTTCCGCGACAAAAAAATGCTGACATCACGTGTGCGACCTGTGTTTACACTAGCCGACATCATGGAAGCCTTCAGAGCTGCGCTCTGTCACTACCCGATCCATCAATTGTCCAAGCGCTTTTTGCTTGTTTGTTTTTGCAAGTGGAATTACTGCTCCTTGCGGAAGACCACAGACGAAGGACGAGGTTAAGAACGGGGGAAGTACTGCCGCCTACAGGTCTGGCATGTCCTTAACAACGTATTTATCCGGGTACGTGTGGACAGAGTTTGTTTTTAAAACGCGGTGGTGTGGATGCAAGTTTTTGGAGGGGCGGATATTCGTTTTAAAAAAAAAAACCCGGCTACGTGTGGACTAGGCCTTAATTCACACCATACCTGAAACTGATGAATAAAGCTATGTAACACTAACCAAAGTGATAGCCAGGGAAAATGTCGTCAGTTTGCAGGTAAAAAGCTTGTCATTGGTCCTCACTTTGATACATAGACAAATACACACACACGCACGTGTTCATCTGTGATTTTTTTACACACAATTCCTTTGTAAAAATAAATCTGATTTGTTGTTAGAGACTTACAATTGTTCACAAAATCTATCAATATTGGGAAGTTTTCATCCCATTCTCTTATCTAAGAAAACAAAAGATCACCCCATTCCTTTAACCCTCCCACTGTCTTTATGGGTGACCCCGCGAGGAAAGTTGACCACTGAGCACACCCATCATCAGGACAGTGGGAGGGTTAAGGGTTAAACATACTTTACAGCATTCATGTAAACAAATATGACGCACATCAAGTGCCTCCCACAATGCACCGCGCCCGTCGGGCAGAGCAGAGCTACGTCCCTGAAGAACAACTAAACCGCTCATTTCTACCGGACCAGACTTGTGTTAACTTGTTGAAATAGTTAGGAAGCGCACTAAAGTTCTTTATTTCAGTTTAAGAGACCGAATGAGAGTCGAGGATACGTGATATCCACTCCTAGCGGCAGCTGGTGGCGATGCTTCTGACCATCAGCTAGCCGCTTAGCTAGTCGCCAGTGACGGGAGAAGCTGTTGGTGACACCCGGCATCAGACACGAAAACAAAGGGAGGAAGAAAGTAGACTGAAGAAAAACGGGTATTTGTGAAATTGGGTTTTGTGTAGCTTTAGGAAACGCAACACAATGAGCACCGAAGAGACAGCAGCCCCCAACAAAGCCGCTACTCCTGAAGATGATGGCATGACTTGGTGGTATAGATGGCTCTGCAAGATAGCCGGCGTTTTGGGAGGAATATGTAAGTAGATGAGCAATCCCACACAAGCCAAACCTTTAGCTACACGTAGTTTAATTATTTTCTGACACGTGTGAGAAATCTTTGTCATTTTCTCTCGACTTTACGTTAATTGTGAGGCTGAGAGCAGACTGATCTGACTGCAGCAGCCTCTGTGGGCTTGCTTACTCATCATTAGCTGTTTATTCATAAATAAAGTGATCATGAACTCAACCGTCTGAGAAAACAGCCAGCTCCGTCTGAGAGTGAGATAGATGTGATTAAATGCTTGAGCTGCAGCCTTTCCAGCAGCATTGCAGCTCAGTGACACCAGAGTCCCTGTATCACATTAACCACTGCATATTCAATGGCTCCTGTATTATTGAGGAGGCTGTATGGTTTAAAGGAGCAGGATCTGCTGTGTGAGGGATAATAGAGGACTGCTCATGTCATGTTTAAGCTGATGTCAGATCCATAAACACAATGAAGATCTTTTTTCTTTTGTGTTTAGATAGATGACTCCCTTTTAGCTGCACAGTGTGACAAGGCTACAACTGGGTAGTGGTTGTATTTTATCTATACTGTTAGGGTTCGGGTATACTGATTCATTTATTCTAAATGACACAGTTGGTATTGGGTGGGAAACGCTGCTTTGGTTTTACCAATTGTTCCTTGTTTTGTGCTGAACACGCAGCCTGTGCCATCTCAGGGGTGTGGAACTGTGTCACCGTGAACCCTTTAAACATTGCTGCCGGAGTTTGGATGGTGTAAGTACTTACATCTGTCTCACTTTACTGTTTAAATCTTCTTAATCATGTTTCACAAAAACATAATAGAGAATTTAATGTAGTATATTAATTATATGCCTACAAGTCACTCTTGCAGGAACTGTGTAGACTGAACTGTAGTTGGGATGATTCTGTACCTGATGCTTTCCAGAAGGAATGGGAGAAAGGGTTGAGAGATTTGGGAAATTTAACAGACTTCCAAATCGGCAGATGCCTTAAGCCAGAAGGGTTCGGAAAGGTAATCGGCGCACAAATGCATCACTTCTCTGATGCAAGCGAAAGTGGGTATGGTACAGCTACTTACCTCAGACTCAGAAACGACAAGGAAGAGATGCATGTTTCATTTCTATTTGGCAAGGCTAGAGTAGCCCCGTTGAAACCTGTTAGAGAAAAGATAAAAAAGAAAAGAAGAAAAACAAGGAGGAAAAAAAAAGAAAAAAGGATGGATCAGGGAGTACTTGCTACCAATGCAGGAAAAAAGGGTTAGAAGTGGGAGACATAGTTGTGGTTATGGACTACACCACTCCTAGAGGATCATGGGTGTTAGGGAAAGCCCTTAAAATGTTTCCTGACAAGAAGGGCTTGGTTCGAGTAGTTCGCCTTCAAACCAAGACTAACATTATCGAGAGACCAATAACTAAGCAATGTTTAGTGTGTGAAGGGGAAACTTAGGTTCAAAAGGTATTACGGGTCTTTTGGTTTGTGTGTATTTTATTGTGTATTGTTTTTTTTGTTTTTTTTTATAATGGCTCCTGTAATTTAAGTTATTGTAATTGCTATGTCTTCTGCTATGCGCAATTAGGGGCTGGCGTGTAGGAGCCATATGTGTCATTTTCTTTCTGCATACCTGAGAGGAGGCTTGGCCTCATTTGATTGGTCAATTGCTTATCGAAGCACCGCCTACTTAAGCAGACACTGATTAGACTCAGGGGTTGCTGTGATGGGACAAACAGTTTCTTACTGTGTGGCGAAGACTGTGGCTGTGTGTAACGGACTCTGCGGACTGTCATTGGGGCAAGTAACGCATTTACTGAAAACCACTTTAACTGCTGTAAATGGATCATGGACATTTTGGAACAAGACGAAATAATAAACATCATCGGAAATAAACACAAGCTGCAATTCTTTTAAACACACGTAAAGACCACCACCCGCAACAGTAACCAGTAGTGCCAGTGTATAGGGCATTGGTATTACATAGTATATTGTTTTAGTAATCACGGTTAACATCTAGCTTTGTTCTATTATTTTTAATTTATGTTATTTATGAAACTGTAGTTAGTATAGTTATGTCAAGAGCCTGGCCTGATAAAGACAATTAAACGTAAACAGTTTGGCACATTTTAGCTGACTTCATCTTTTAAGGCTGTGTTGAGACATTGATGCTGAGACCACACGTTTCTCAGATCTTTATGTTGTCTTTATTTTTCCAATTCATGATCAGTGATATCTGTCTTTACTGACCGCGGGCCTTCTGTCTTCACAGTTTGCATCATTTCTATCCGAGTCAAGCGGTTTGCTTGTGTTGGTCTTGGTTTGGTTTTATTGTACAAGGACCGCTCAAAAGACAGTGTTACATGTAAGGGCGCTGCAGCCGTTGTTTTGTGCAGAGGTTTTCTAGCCAGAGGCTAATTTGCAAACCTAGTCCTTGGTTGGATTTTAGAGACAATAGCAGTTATTTACTTCAGTAGCTTCCAAACCTTTCCGCTTCACACCCACAAAATAACTAAAACAAAGCTTTTGAACACTGAATAGCACCAGTTACACTATTACGATTAATAATAAGAATAAACAATGTGTTTGAAGTCATAAAAACTATTTACATCTTTTTATGATGATTTTGTTTTTCTAACGATCTTAGTGGTGAAAATGTGGTATCAGGACCGTTTTTTATTGTATTTCCTGACTTGTTGACAGGAGTCGGATCAACACAAACTCGCCCGTCGCTGCAGGTTACTAACATGTTCAGCGCCGTTTGTGCTTGTAGTTGGATCATTCCATCTTCTGATGAAGCCTCTGTGTGTTTGCTTGGGTGTTTTTGCTGAAATATGAAGCCCTGACATGTTACTAGTGTGACTGCTCAACAGTTGAGTCATTGTCTAGTTGAATTTCTGTTTTTTAAGATGAACGTGCACATATCAATTCTCTGCTCTGTTGTGTCTGCGACTCCTCCTCCTCCTCCTCCTCTGCAGGTTGAATGCCTTCGTGCTGTTCCTTTGTGAGGTCCCGTTCTGCTGCCAGTTTGTAGAGTTTGCAAATGCCGTTGCAGCGCGAGCAGACAAACTCAAGCCCTGGCAGAAATCCTTCTTTTACTGCGGGTGAGAACAACTCCACTCCACCATGCTGTTACCGAGATCTCCTCCTGGCTTTAGGAAAAGACGTATTTATGGGTTGTGGACATTTCTGTTCTGCGTAAACTAAACGTCCATCTTTCCACTGTCTCACGCTTCCCGACACCAGGATGGCGCTGTTTCCTGTGTTTCTGAGCTTCTCCTTCACCACCTTGTTCGGGAACGCCATCGCCTTTGCCACGGGAGTTCTGTACGGCCTCGCCTCTTTAGGCAAAAAGTGAGACATCTTTATTTCACCAGTTAATGATAACAGAAAATACAAATACTCATGTTTCTGTGTGTTCCAATCACGTCACACCCCATTAAAAGGCTCCTCCGTTAAACGCACTACACCACTCTCTAATCTGTTAACTATGTTGTTATTAACGATCTTCATATTTGCTAATTAACTCCTGACTCGTTGAGGCGATAATCTTCCTGAACCACCTGCTTTTGCTTCGTCCCGCCTTTCCCTTTTGACATGACCTTTTTTACCACCACCCTTCCTTTGCATCCCGTCGTCCCTCCCTGTGTCTCTCTCTATCAGGGGAGACGCGGTAACCTACGCCCGACTGCAGCATCAGAAACGGGGTGATGAAGAGAGGATGGCAGAGACGGCAAACGGCGCTCCAGAGTGACTCGTCACCTTTCCCTCATTCTCCCTCGTCGCCCATCCGCCCGCCCATCCCACCCCTCCCTTAGTGTTTTATCTTACACTACAAAGAGTTGTGATGTGTATTTATTTACCTATTTGCTGCATTCTGACCCAATTCAGTTAATAGTTTGCAGCTGAAGTGGACGACTGGGATTCGTCATTGTGACACGATACCTTTCAAGTATGTTTTGATTTCTCCTTGTTAAACTTTATTTGATGAAGCTCGGTTGTCTTTGACCCCCCCCCCGAAGCCTTTCAGCAAAACCCGAGTTTAGCCTGAGCTTCTATATGTTGACTTTTAGGCTGCGGTTCGGCGCTGTGTGACGGGGAGTGCAGTGCGTAGTAATGAAGTCCACTGATGCACCGAGCTGCTGTGTTGTCCTACATTTGGAAGCTTAGTCCAGTTCAGCTAGCCAACCAGAGTAGGAGGAACTGTCGCCTTTGGTTAAACATGAGGGACAAAATCCCCAAAACCGAAAGAGCCAAGTCAACAGAAAACACCAGCAGAAACGATTTACTACGGTCAGTGTTCCTGGCTCAAAGTTTCATGCATGTTTTCATTCAATGAATGCAAACCAGCTAGCTAGAATTTGATTGGCAGTGTTGAATGTCTGAATTCTGCATAATCAGCCCACAAAGTGCTGCGAATGTTTAAATAAACACATATTTTTGATTGAATGAACAAAGCAGACCTATCAGAACATGTTTTAAGGCTGATGCAGGTCAGACTAGATGTTTGCCGGAAGCTAAAGGAAACATTGAAGCACAGAAGTGTTCAGATTTGATCTCGTTTAATGTTGGCACTGTGTGTGTCCATACATGTGTGTGTTACCTGCTGCAGAAGAGCACGCAGTACTGTTTTTACCTGTCCGTTAGCAACATACCGTATGAACACTTAAAACAAATTTTAATGAAAGTCTTTGCTGAATGTACGTCTACAACCGATTCATGATGGCTGCCAAAGCGACTCAGCGTTAGCATATACACACATGGCTGTGTTTCCGGCAGTTATACAGGTGTTGAGCTAAACGTTGGGGTGTTTGTAGCTGAGATTCACAACGCTTGTAACGCTAACAGACTTAAACGGCTATAATAATAGATGATCTTTGCTTAAATCTGTGGCATGAAGTGCGTTTGGTGATTCCTGTTAGTTTGGCCTTTTTGTTTGTACTTGAACTGTTCTGTTAAGTCTTGGGGAAAACGGTTTTAAAATACTCCGCTACACTACAGATGTGAGGAAAAAGGACGTCCAGTGTTTTCTAAGGGTTTTCATAGTTTAATCTTATAAAATGTACTTTTCTTAACTGGTTTTTGTTTTCAGTGTTTCTGGTTTAGTTTGTGATGGACTCATCTGTCACTTTAGTGTTTTGATCTAATGAGCTTTGAATATGTGTTGATTAAAAATCGTGATACAAGACAAGTGTCACTAAGAAGAAAAGCTATTTTGCAGCCCGTTGACACGCATACAGTTGTGGAGCAGAAGCTCGAGGGTGTTTGTAAACACGAGGAGGTAGAAGGGATTCTTCTTTCATAAGGGAATGTATCGTGTATTTCCAAAGATAAGAGACCTTTGATCTTATGATTTAGTGCTTTAAGCTTTTATATTTGAGTCTTTGAATGGAGTTAAAGCTCATCCTGCTGCACTAACCTTCAGGTAACATTCAGAGCATGACTCAGCATGTTTACTGTACAGCAGAATGGCGCGGGACTAGAACATGAACTCGTTTGTACGTTTTCTGCTCAGCTGCTGATTTCTCCATGTTTATTATTTTTATTAGGATATTTATTAGGTGCAATGATAACATGGGGGAGAGATGTGGTTCAGGGACCTATCAGCCATGGATTATACCTCTAGCGGTCTCGTCGTGTTTCTTAATCGCCCCCTAGTGAATGATCTGTTACATGAATGCTTTGGTCGGCCCACATCTGCAGCTGTTTGTGTCTGAAGTCTTTTGCCGTTGAAGCTCTCAGGTATCAGGACTGTGAAATTCTCTTGAGTCGATTAAAACATTTTACCTGCAAACGTGGTGTCTATACCACACCAGTGATGCATCACAGCCCAACACTACACAACCCTTCGCCCTTTTCTTTTTTCCCCCAGACGTTTTGTTGTCGTTGACCTACTGACTGGGTTTGGTACCAGTAACGTGTGTGTGTGTGTGTGTGTTGTGAATTCTGATCCTGTTTTGGATTTGTGAATAAAACAAACTTGCTAATACGACCATGTTTTGTGCTTTCTCTACTTTTAAAACCATCCACAGACGGGCATTTATCTTGAGATCAATAAAACCAGGTGTGTCAATAAAGTGACCCGGGGCCCTGGGCCCCTTCTGAATGGGTGGAATGTTCTCACTTCAGCAGGTTGATCAACATTTTCTAACTTTTATAAATTCAGATTTCTATTAATGTGACGGCTGTTTTTGCGCTGGACAGGAAGAACGTCTAGATACATTTATTTTCCCAATAAAACAATCCAACTCTTGCAGCCTATGAAGTTTGATTTGATGATTGTGGTCCTCTTGAAAAATGTGGACACCCCTCATTTAAAATTTTTATGATTTTTATAAATGTCTGGTGTTTAGTTATGAATTACAGATGTCACATTAAATATTTACAAAAAATGGAGCGAATATTCAAAAACAGCATGGCGACCCAGTGAAAACCTCAAATTTAATTATGAATCTTTTAAACAATATTTTCTCTACTTGTGCTACTTAAGGTGAAAGTCTTCATAAAGATATTTTAAAACATTAAAATGTAATTAATTTACTTTTAAGTCCCAACTGCCTAAAATCCCTAATCCTAAAAAGTACTTTTCTCAAGAATTTATGGCAGAAGTTCTGGCCAAATGTGTCTTTTTATTTGTGCTTTAAAAAGACAATTTTACATCCTACTTTGTTTATCTATTTATTGTCATCATCTGCATAAGTCAGAGTGCACACAGTTATTTTCCAGCGTGTCTGACCATAACAGAACACTGATTCATCAGTGCTGGTTTGTCTTCATGATCGTTATGGGGGGGGGGGGGATATGATGGGATAAATTCAGACTCCTGACTGTTACATTTTTCATTAATAACTCTTATTTTTCAGATCGCAATCCTTATTGCTTATTTACTGCAACGCCACCCACTCCACAGACGTCAAAACCACAGTCCCTTTGTTAACCAGCAGAGAACGCTGTGGCTCAATTTTTGTCTCGTCAGAAGAAAATATATTTGTAATTATAATGCAATAAACTATTAGAACAGGGAGCACAAATAGAGGGTCTTTTTAATTAATAATGTTGGTAAAATGGGATGTGATGCATGTTACTGGTTTGAACTCGTGAACAGACGAGACAAATTATCAACTCTTCATAATCCCACCAGCAAAAGCAAAATGCCATCACGCAGTAATTAAATCTAATAAGTCAAGGCTGATGATAAGGTCTGTGAATGGCCTGAAGTTATGGTTGCCAGTAGGCTCATTGAAGGAAAATTCAAGTATGATGAAAGCAGCCTTTGAGGGGATCGGATCAGAAGTCCAGCTCCAGGCTGAATGACTCAATAAGGTAAAAACAGGCTAAATAAAAAATTGCATTTTACTTCACTAATTACATTGTATGAAGTGAAGAGATTAAAGCAGCATTTCTTCACTAATGAAATGACTCGTGCAACAATACATGAACACCTCGTCATAAATATTTGGTTCTGTTGTAAAAACAATGATATGAATGCGAATCATCCTGCCCTGATCTGTTATCCAAGGATTGCCTGATGGATTGTCTAAAAGACAAGTTACAACAAGGAAAAATCAGGGTAAAAACTTTAAAAAGATGTTCTGGACTATTGTAATTCATGCTAAACTTAATCAAACTGCCATCAATTGCTAGGCTATAGGTGGTGCAGAAAGGTTTTAAACCGCGACAACAACATCAATCAATCAATCCATCAATAAATTCATCAATCAATCAATCAATCATTTTATTAATAATTTTATTAATAAAGTCCCATCCCACCCCCAATCAAGGGGGCCAATGGTGCTGAACATTGTGCAAAAAAGCAGCACAGTCATGACTCCCAGGCTTACACCCTCCTCTGTCTCTGCTGCCTCCTCTATCTAGCCCTCAGCCACTTCATTACTATCACCTGCATCTGTCATCAGCACCCTTATATCCTTCACATGCTCCACGCAGTCACCTCACCCTGCTCACCTGGTTCCACTGCTATACATTCACCAGCCAGCCACCAGTTCCCTGCCAGATTATTGAACACTCTATGTCAGTAGATCTTCCAGCCTTTCACCTTGCCTGATCCCAGCCTCCGGACCTCGTTTTCACGCCTGACCCCTGCCTAGGGCTCTGCCTGCAATCACTACGCTCGCCTGTCTTTGACCTCTTCTCTAGCCTGCTCCATTAACCTGCTTTGCCTCGTTCTGGTTTTTGACCCACGCCTTCTCTCTGACGCTGTCTCCAGCCTCGCCCTCCTCGGTGAACGCCACGTCTAATAAAGACTCTTTAAGGTGCTTTACTGTGTTTGGTGTCATCATGGGTCCTTCTAGTTCAGCTCACGACAAAAACTGCTGTATAATAAAATACGGAAATAAAAACATTTAAAAACAAAGAGCTAAAACAATAAAAATAGTGATCAAAAACATTAAAATGTGAATAAAAACAACTCGGAAACAGATCTAAAATACACTTAAAGCCTTGCTTTAAAAGTGGACAGCAGTGTGGACTGCTTGATTTCTTGTGGGAGTTGGTTCCAAGGCTGAGGACCCAGAACTACAAAGGCACGATCACGCCTAGACTTGCGCCTTGATCGTGGTACCACCAAAAGGTCACTCTGACCCAAACGTAGTGATCTTTCAGGGACATAACGGGTCAGCAGGGAGGCTAAATACGATGGCGCTGATCCAGACAGGATTGAATAACAAGGAGCAGTATTTTGAACGAGATGCAGCTCTTAACCGGTAGCCAGTCCAGAGTTTTCAGGAGGGGAGTGACATGCTCCCACTTATGTGCTCCATAAAGAAATCTGGCAACAGTGTTTTGGACCAGCTGGAGCTAAGTCATTAAGGACTGGTTCAAGCCAGCATAGAGGGAGCACATCACTCCTGTCCTGCTGTCTTTACATTAGCTTCCAGTCTGTTATTATCAGGTGTCTCATTTATCAAACATTGTGTAGAATCCTTACTAAAACCGTACTTAAGCTCAGCAAAAAAAATGTACTTACGCCAAGTAGGTTTGTGACCTATCAAACATGGAGTACGCACAGCTGCACGCAATCTCCGCTTCATAAATCGGAAACTATCTACAAATGTTCTCAACAGCTTTTTAGTCACATCCCGCCCTCACCTCGCCCACTTACTGCCATAAATAGTCAATGCAAAGTGCCTTGCGTGGATCTCATGCATATACATAAGCCGGCTTGTTGCAGCATTTCGATCACGACCGCAGATCAAGGAAGCGCTATTTCACAAGCAGAAATTCAGGTACTTGTGGGTGAGGTGGAGAAATGAAAGGAAGTACTTTTGCAAAACAAATAAGAGAAAATCCACGGAGCGGCACAGCGTTGCTGAAGCCGTCAATGTTGTGAATTCTTCAGAGAGATCTGTGGCGGATATAAAAAAAATGGTCCCAATCAGGATTTGATCCCCAGACTCCTGGGTGAAAGTCACGCGCTAACCAGTCAGCCAAACGGAGATCTACCTTGCCCAAGTAGGCAGGGCGCATGATCAATCGGGTCACAGTGACAGGACACACACTGTCACAGACGCATGACATTCTGTCTCAATCTGTCCCCCGCTGATATTCTGCATTCCATATTCTGCCCTTCAGGCTGTGTGTGTGTGTGTGTGTGTGGGGGGGGGGGGGGGGGGGGGGGGTTTCTTGTTCTGTGTGAAAACGAAGCAGTACAAGTGATAATACTGCTGGATTTCATAATTTTATCCTTCTCAGCAGCAGCACTGCAGGAGCTCTCCATGTCCAAAATGTGCATAAGCAAGGTCCTTAGTCAACTTAAAATTGTGCACATTTTCCCACTAAGTTTTCATTAATAAATCCCAAAGTTTGCGTGGAAAGTTGCTTACGCAGTTTTCCGACCCCATTTTGTGCGTAAGCAAGCTTGATAAATGAGGCCCCTGGTTAGTTTCTAGATTTTGGTAATTGTTCTCAAGGGTTCTTCATGGCAGTGCTCTGCTGTGTTTACTGCATTAGTATGTTCCAACCCAATCTCTTTTTTCTACAGACCAAGGCCTTTTGGCTTTTCTGAGGTCCAAGTGCAAAGGGAATTGTGACCTTATCAGTTTTGGCCCAAACTTTATGGAACATGCTTCCATTGAATATCTGACTGACTCTATCTCTCACCATTTTTAATTGTCAATGACTAATGAATTTTATTTCCTATCATTCCTACATAGTAGACTGTGAAACACATTTTACTGAATTATGTTTAGCTTTTTCTGTTTTGGTTTAAATAAGGTGATGATGAAGATGATAATGATTTAAAAAACAGCATATGAAATATATAAAAAATATGAGGAAGGGAAAATATGAAAATATACCAGCAGTATATATTTTTGTCTGATAATAATACTGTATTATTATCATCATCATCATTATTATTAATAATCCCCCTCCCCATCATACCTGGGGCCTGAGTCCCCCTGCATGTTATTTCTGGTCACCCCCCTGGCTAAACTACAGGTAAAACCTCCAGGGTTCTGCGAGTTTAAGCTAATACACCCCCCATTGTAAATATTTATGGCTATCTGCTAATTTCTTCTGTGTTCTCCGGATTTTGCCTGCCACGGAACACCGAGCTCAGGAAATAAAAGTCCCACGTTCAGCCCCAGAGGGAGGACTGTTTGCAGGCTGTCCTCCAGCAGCTCCTGGTTGCATCACGCTTGGAAACTTCACCCAGCTAGGGACTTGCTTTGTGCTTTGCGGTGGGAGCGGAGGGAGGGAGAAACACACACACACACACACACACACACACACACACACACACACACACACACACACACACACACACACACACACACACACACACACACACACACACACACACACACACACACACACACACGTCTGCAGTGTGACGGGATTCAAAAGATTCCACTGACTCAGGAGCCTCTGACAGAGGGGGGACGGACGCTGGGTTTTCCCATCGGGAACGTGTTTATTTATTTTCGGGGAGACATAAATGTGTGTTGGAAGTCTGAAGTGTCTCTCGGTGTTTTGTCTCGGGAAAAGAGCCGCGCACTTTTGTCCTTCCTCCTAAGGACGCACGGGACGTTTCGGAGCTGAAAGCGGCCACCATGGAGCGCGTTCCCACCGGTAAAAGTGTCTCGGAGCCGTGTGGTGGACACACACGGGGACTGTAGCGGTTCGGTGTTTGTCCAAGTAGCTGCTGAGCAGTGTTGACCGTTTCTGAGGTTCGGTTGGAGTCCGGGATGCCCGTGAGGAACAGGTACAACCTGGTGGACGATGTGGCGGATTCCCGGCTGCCGCTGCACAACGAGGAGGCTTACCAGCACGGGATTTCCTTCCAAGCCAAGGTGAAACCACCCAGTCCAACCGAACCGGTCCATCTGTGGTGCTATTAGAGTGGCAGGTGCACTGGACTGGACCCCAGCTGGGATCCTTTGTAAAGTTTGAAAACATGGCAGCGCCATGTGGTCCCACTGTGCATGTTAATCACACACTAATCTGGAAACATTAGGATTTTTCATTTAATTTTGCTTCCAAGGGACCAGATATCGTGTCGTAATTTCAAAGTAATATTCGTGACATTATGTTTCAGGTTTTCAGAATGTTTTTCTTGACTTTGGCAGCTTTTCTTCACATTTAGTCTCAGCACCTGATCATGATTTTAACATGAATCATTTAATGCTCCTAACTCAGGAAGTGGATGTTGGATAATTTAGCAAAACATAACTGGAAATATGCATTTTGTTACCAGCATCCTGTTGCAAAGATGCAATTTGAGTTGAGTCCTTAAAATCACCAGCAATAACAATGTTTCACACATAAAATGAGATTATAGCACAAGCAGGATGATTCCTAAAGAGTGGCTGAGAAATAGACACATGGTTGATCTGATACAGTTTATTTTCATTCACATTTTCACTTTGACATTTAGAGGGCATCCTGCTTACATCATCCAGTTTACATTTTGTGGTAAATACAGCCAAAGTCCCTCTATTAAAGGGGGCATAAAATGCAAAACTCAACCGTTTGCATCATTTTGTGCCGCTATGTACGTCTTTACTGCCTCTATAAATACTCTAAATGTGAAAAAATAACATCCACCTGTTTTCTGTCAGTGTTTATTTTTAGGAGTTGTGTCCATGAAACAAGATGTTTCAAAAAGCCCCAGTTTGTGATGTCACAAAAGGGGAAAATAGAAACGAATAAACTCGTGTAACAGAGAATTGCTACAAGAGGAGCAGCAGCAGCTCTACTTGGTTCCCCCTTCTATTTATCAAAGCGTCTCAGTTTTATAGCAGCCTGAGTGGATGATGGGTGGGTGTGTACAACTCCAGCTTGTTTTCTTAAAGTGACAGTGCCCCGAAATGGCTCATTCTGGAAGGTACTGAAAATGTCAAGAGTAAATCTGCTCAAATAACTATGTGAGACGGATTTAGTGACAAGTTTCATGAATATGCTTAGTTGGTTATGTGCATAGGTGAAATTCTGGTGATTCGATACGTATCATGATACGGGGAGACGATACGATATATCACGATATATTGCGATACATTCAGCTATATTAACAATTTTTTAGACTGAATTTATTGTACAAAAATTCATCACACAGTCTAAACTGATACTTAACATGTTTAACATGAGGATCTGAACCATGACAGAGGGATTTACATGTCAATAGTGGAAACAAAACCCATTGCACACTGCTGCCAACTAATGTTCGGCTTTGAATCGCACCAAAAGAAAAGAAAATACACAAATGTTTGAATGTAAATTATTCCAAAAATTCGATTCATAGCTTTTAAATATTGATATAATATTGCATGAAAAAATATCACGATATATTGTCATATCGATATTTTCTTACATCCCTAATGCTTTGGATCAACTGTAGAACTACTATAACTTAAGACAACAAAGTCACAACATGTCCCCTTTAAGACATCAACATAGACGTGGGACCATGTTAATACTATCATAGTGTTAATCAGCCAGTGCAGAGACATTATAGTATTGGGTTGAAGAGTTCATTATATTCATTGCAGACTTGTTAATTATCCTAAATACTCAGTTATACTTACAGGTTGTTTCTACTTGGAGACATATTTGGATTGCAATCTTCAGTTACTTACAAATTTGTAGAAAAGGTTGGGATGAAATTGTGATTTATTTTTTTCACTGTAAAAAATCTCAATATGTTTTGTCATACCATCATTTCATTTATAAAGACTTAACTAAATTGAGTCTGGCTGCTTGGAAGCAAAGATAAATTTGAGACAGTGTAAAACTTTTGCACAGTTGTTTACAGTTGATCTGAATAACCCACAAAAAGACATCTTGGTGGCTGTATTTTCAAGTTTTCTTAAGCTATTGAATCACCAACCTACCCAGGTGTAGCTGAGTGTGTTTTGTTTTTATTTATTTATTGGTTTGCTGTCATTTTAGTTGTGGATTATCATCAGTAGTGGCCAGTATTTGTATAGCACCTTAGGGTTCTACAACCCCCCAAGATGCTTCACAACACAATTAGTCATTCACCCATTCACACACACGTTCACACACTAGTGATGATGAGCTACAATGTAGCCACAGCTGTCCTGGGGCAAGGCTGCTGAATACAGGCACCACTGGTCCCTCTGACCACCACCAGCAGGCTAAGCTGGTTAAGTGTCTTGCTCAAGGACACCACAGCAGCATTCTCTGGTCAGAATCAGGATCAAACCTGCAACCTTCCGATTAATGGACAATCCGCTCTACCTCCTGAGCTATGCTGTCCCTAAAAGATTCATCATCAGAATCACATCCAACATCAGGAAACCTTTAAGGCGTTTGTGCTTTTTGTGGATTTCTGTTGATGGACTTTAGTCACAGTTCCTTATCTGGAGCGGTTTGTGTAAACAGGAAGCAAAGGGTTAAAACAAGGAAGTGTTGAGGCTCCAAAGTTTAACCTCAGGGGCACTTGCATCCAATTAGGTCTGCTTTTCATATCAAATAGGAAACATTCATTCTATAAAATCCCAGCATAAACCAATGTTTAAAAAAATGGCTGTGGATCTACGGCAGTTAAATAAAATACAAACATCTCAATTCACTTTGAGATCCAAACTGAGCAACGATAAATATATGTAGACAGTAATGCGTTAAATACAGATATTAAACACGAAATGCAGTCATCTCCTCGCCATGTCAGTGGCAGAGCTTTTACGCTCACAAAACCTTTAGCGTAATCCAAATACGGGCAGCATCAAAGACTGCATGCTCCCCGCAGCTCCTCGTGAATTTAAATGCATGCAATAAGGCCCAGCAGTGTCATCTTTACCTTTATATGAGACGCTGCAGTCTGAAATAGAAACCCTGGGATTGCTACATTATAGTGAAATATTTAGTTACAGTAACTAATCCTGCCTTTTATGTGTATCTGTTCACTACAGTACGTAGGGAGCCTCGACGTGCCCAGACCCAACAGCCGGATGGAGATTGTGGCATCCATGAGGAGAATCAGGGTAAGAGAAAAGCACTTTCAGAGGGAATTTCCACGTATGTTTGATAAGTAAAGTCAAGCATTTGGAAAGTTTTCTTAAAATTTCCCATTGTTCAATGGTGTCAGTGCACCTTTTTGTAATAATGTAAGCTTAGACACGATTTAAAACCACATTTACATAGTTGTTAAATTCAGACAGCTTGGTGTGTATAACGTAGCATACCATGAAGTCTGCCATCTTTGAACTGCTATTCTTTGTAAACTAGTGATGTTGTAATGGTCATGGAGAATCGGTTTGTTTTGCGGAAAGCTGGTACAACACGTCATCTGGATAAACGTATACGTCACTTTGGATAAATGCGTCTGCTAGGGCTGCATGATATTAGGAAAACCAGCGCCAGCGATATGCGATAACAGTGATTAATATTGCGATGACGATATTACTTGCGATAAATAAAAACTTAACTCGGGAACAAAATAATCAAAAACAAAGAAATAAAAAATGACACAAAATATTCATAAAATGAAAACAGCTAAAGATTTGAGGAAAGGGAAAAAGAAAATTAACAAGAAACGATAATCAGTGGATCCCGGGAAAAGCAAAATCAGCAGAAAGAGCCAAACAAAGCTAACTCGGGTGTTTGCTAACCATCAAAATTAAGTGCCGTCCGCCTCGGGGCGGGCATCTAACCTATGAGAACCCACCCAATTGGCCAAATGGGTGAAGAGCTCCATTTGATTTGTTAAAAAACATGCTTCCGTTTGATTGACAGAATGCATTATGTTTAGCAAACATTCGCGCTGACCATTCATTGCGATATTTATCTGTTCTTTGCGATATGCATATTGCACATGCTGATATCACGATAACGATATATTTGCGATATATTGTGCAACCCTAGCGTCTGCCAAATAAATAAACATAAAATAAACATAAAGAAAGGATGTCTGCTCCAAGAAGAACATTAGAAACACGAAAAAATGCGTAACGGTACTTTTATAATCTGCAAAAAATTTCGATTAATTGTGAGTTAACTCGTGATTAATAGCGATTAAAGTTGTTATTGACTGACAGCTCTAATATATCTAACCATAGCATTTGATGAAAAAGCATTTTATCAATATCCGATTTTCCCAAAACCATTAATATAAAGGTCACACTCAGTGGTTAAGTCCTTTGGTGACTGACCCGTGATGGAAGACAGGAACTACTTTTACTCCAACACCATAATCACACACAGGATGAAAAGAGTGTGCCGCTGTCAGAAGAAATCTGCTGTGGGGGTGCAGTGATGCGTTAGCTGACTGAAGGATCACAATAATGTCAGAAAGCAAAGGAAGAAATGAATGTTTCTTTTGTAAATGTTAGTGGATTCACTCTGCTGCTTGGTTTATTGCTCATAGTCAAGCTGATGGTTTTAAGATTTGTTTGTTGCCGTTTTGTCTTTTACCAGTTTTCCAGTAACTCAAGATTGAGTGTTGTAGAGCTAATTTACTCTAAGGTAAAGCACAGCAAATGAACAGGACTGTGTGTTTGTTGTACCATATGTAGGTATGACTCACTAATGCATGTTTGTTTTTTAACTACAAACCTGTAGTAAGGCTGCCAAAAGGCATTAAGGCACCCTGATTGCTATTTCTTCTGTTTTTGTCACAGTTTGTGGTTCATATTTTCTCTCTTAGTTTTGGACATAAACACAGAGAAAACATCCAAATGTTCGGTTTGGTCTGGAACAGTGTGCTACATAACTTTTGGCATTAGTAAAACCAAGTAAACAAGAATTAGCAACAAACTGAAAGCAATTTTCCCTTCAGATAACAGTAAGATTTTGGCATAACAAGAGTAAACCCAGCCCCTTTGGCTGCTTTATAACTCAGACTCCCTAATAGATGCATTATTTTAGGTTAGAGGGACATAAAAAGTTAGGACCTTGCCATGATTTTTCCACAAGCACTAAAACTGCCATAAATCAGTGGATAATGCGCTTCAAGTGTCCGGCATTCAAGCTCCACATCACACTGGATTAATAAAATAAAAATTACGCTGACTGCCCTAGATGCACACATGGAGTTTAAATGATAGTGGTTCATGTTGATGCACATGATGACCTCAGAAAGGGAGAGGTGAGAAAATTGTGGATTTATTAAAAGTGAAATTGTGAAATTCAACAATAATACACCGATCACATACCTAAATATTGTAACATACTGTTGTTGCCTTAGTTGCCACAGTGACAAGCAATAAACTACTGTTTTCATTAGGGATACCAATATTGGCATTAAAATGTAATATCAGAAATTATATGCATTTGTTTTTACTTTTAACCCTTTAACTTCCTCACCATGAAAAAAACAATGAAAACATTCCACATTAGCATTTTTTCATTTGGGGAAATGGGTTTTAGTTTAATGTAAATAATATTATTAATATACTAATTGTAGTAATATTAAGGTAATAAGAATGCAATGTAATAATGTTACACCTTTTCTTTTGTTTTACTATTTTTCTTGTTAAGATCATTTAATGCTTTAATGTGATATAAGGACTTTAGATGTGCTCTACCCAGTCAGTTGATACACAACTCTTACATTCCATGGACATAAAATACATCAAACTCTTCAGCTATTTCTTCTCTCACTCAAAATGTTAAAAGAGGACTGATCTGAGGTGTAAATGATAAATGACCTGCACTTGTGTAGTATTTTTCCAAGTCCGAGGACTCCAAAGTGCTTTACACTACAGCCAGTCATTCCGCCGTTAACACACACACGCGCATGTTATAGTCTTGGAGACTGGCAAAAATAATGTTTAAAGTTTAAGTATACATGATAGGAGATTTGTGATGTTAGTTACCTAAAATTATTTCATTTTTCTTTTTTGTATGAGGCGAGGACCCCCGCATATATTGGTATCAGTTTATATCGCAAATTTAGAGTTTAGCCTTGTTTATACTTCTCCGTCAGCAAGATTGCAATTCCCTGCCAGGACAGCAGGGGGCGGTGACCTTTTCTGGAGGATCTGCCTACCGTTACGGTGATGTCTCTGGTAGACAACAGTTTATTTACTTTGGCTTGAAAACACACTGGCGCTGTTGGTTCATACCAATCCATCCATACTTGCATGCCTGTCAGAGACTGCTTGCATCAACGCATATTGCAGCTGCGTGTCTCCGCACTTCAACATGGAAAGTATAAACTTCGCATTAGAGTAAATCAGTATATCAGATATGAAAAATAATATCTTACATCCTTAGTTTTCAAGCTTTTGCTTTCAGAATAAAAATTTAAAAGTTATTTTTTTTAAATAAGAAAAAACATGTTGAAGTTTGAATATGGAACACAAACACCATAGTGACATCTAGTGTGTGGAGGTTGGAGTTGCAACAATAGAACAAAGCTTCCAGTTGTCGGGATACCAGGATTGCTATGAAGCAGAGGTGGGACCAAGTCACTGCTTTGCCAGTCACAAGTAAGTCGCAAGTCTTTCCAGTAAAGTCTCGAGTCAAGTCCAAGTCAAAGACAACAAAGTTCGAAGTCAATGATGTGGAAGTCCAAGTCAAGTCCAAGTCCTCAACTTTGAATTTTCAATTCATAATCAAGTCATCAGTCCAACTTCAATATGACAATAATAAGTAAATTCCAGAAATAAAGTTTCTTAAAGCTTCATTTATTTGGTCAAACCAGCAGAAAGTGCAACTGAAGTTGATTATAAGCAAAGTGCTGCTGAATCTAGCAGAACAACCTCAAACCCAGAACGAAGAATGATTTATGATTTTTGTCCATGTTGTGCCACTTTTGTGTTAAAATATCAAATATGCTCAAGTCATCATCAAGTCAACAGATGCAAGTCAGTTCAAGTCGCAAGTCATTGGTGTTCAAGTCCGAGTCAAGTCGTAAGTCTTTATAGATTTTATCAAGTCAAGTCAGAAGTCATTAAAATAATGACTCGAGTCTGACTCAAGTCCAAGTCATGTGACTCTAGTCCACACCTCTGCTATGAAGTGACCAGCCAGCACCGTGTCCAGGTACAAATTGTACAGGTTAAGGACTAATTTCTACCAAGTTTATTTTACAAACAGTATTGAACGTTAGAACATCTTCTGGGCTCAGAGGTAGCTGCTTGACTTGCCGAGTCCGCCATTTTCCACAGTGCCAGCCTCCCTGTGCCGAGCAATGTTTGGCAACCCGCAATGGTGCCCTCTATTGGCTGGTAGATGTAAACATAAAACCCTTCAATCTGAACACCTCTAAACCCCCCTGAAGGTATGTTTTTTTAAAACAAATGTAGCTTTTTATTGAATTTGTTCCATATTCAACCTTTAATGGACTTGGTCTGAAATGTCTGGAAATCAGAGCTGTAAAAGAAACTCAAATCAGTGCTTTACCTCAAAACTACAGTCGTTGCATTTCTGCTGTTATTTGTATTGCCAGTGGATAACTCATTCTGAATTTGTATCCTTAAGACTCTTTGCAGCTTTATAAACTGCCTCTGTGTGTGTGTTTTTTTAATTGTGTTCCTTAATTACCAAACTTGCCAACGAATGAGTTTGTATGAGCATGAAGACCATGGTGATACACAGCTGGGTGGCACAGAAAAGGAAACACACTTAGACTTTCAAAAAATCTCAGCATTGGATCGCAATGTTACTTTTTAAAATGCATCCCATGTATCAGATGGACTGGTATAAATAGTAACTTCCCATAGATTAATGCATTTTGTTTAAATGGAAGCAGCTTCCTGTTATGAGTGTAAATTTGAAGTCCTCTGATACCATAGGCAGGTCTACATAAACAACTTTTGGTGTGTGTGTGCGTGTGTGTGTGCGTGTGTGTGTGTGTGTGTTTAAAGTCATCTCTACAGACAGAGATGAGACATCAAGTCCAATCCTTCCTTATTGTGTAGAAAAACATTACCAGATGTTTAGTGGTGAGTTTTCGGAGGCTGCTGGTTGGATTTTGTTGCCCTCGAGGAGTGTCGGTGTACCCGCCTCGCTCTGCCTCCATCCTTAAAGTGTCTGCTGG